GAAGACAGGAGCTTCTTCTTGCCTCTGTTAACTCCAAGGATTTCTTGCTTGCACCGGCAGGACCTGGAACGAAGGCATCAGGAGAAAGTGCAGATGCAAGCTGAGATCAAGCGCATCAACGACGAGAACCAGAGAAAAAAAGCAGAGCTGCTGGCTCAGGAAAACTTGGCGGACCAGATGGTGATGGAGTTCACCAAGAAGAAGATGGTAAGGACCTGGTTTCAGATGACTGGGGCCTCTGAGCCGGAATGGCATGTCTGTAACCAGGAGAGGAGATTCCTACAGAAGGTAGCCACGTCTGCACTTTAAAAATGTACATCCTTTCTTTGTTCAAGGACCTGGCACCCCACTTCTCCTTGGCCTGACTTGTTCATTAACAGAATATCCTAGAAAGGACATCCAAATCAGTGTGTGATCATCCTCATTAACACCTTCGTTAGAAGTTGGTCTGTGGGTCATGTGCAGGAATGGAAGTAAATGAAAATGATTGGTGAAAGTGAAGTTTTTGTAGATTCCTCATGACTTGGTAACCCCGTGAATTCCTTGTGAAAAGTCCCATGTTGAGCATCCTATATTGGGTGCTAGACTCGGAAAACAAAGACTTGTCCCTCCCCTTGCAAAGACAACCAGTGTAGCAAAGAGCCTTGTCTGCAGACGGTTATGGGTGGCTGTAGCTCGCACATGTGTGGACTCTTTCTGGGGCAAAATTGAGTGATAAAACGATTGGGGTCTGTGGAAAGTACAAGGGAAGCCTTGGAAGTGTGATTTAGAAGGAATGTGGTGTATGGAAAAAGAGGAAGAAGGAATCAAAGTGGCGGAAAATTGTTTCTTCATGTGTCAGTTTTGGCTCCTCTGCAAATTTTAAAGTCTCATGACGACAGAAAACATTTCACTTTTCTATGCTCCTTCATGAAGAACAGGTAGAGGGGTTCTTCATGAAGGGTGGGGAGAGGGTGTGGTTATGATTTTCTTTTCTTGTGGTACTGGCGATTGAACCCAGCCCTGCTCTACCACTGAGCCATATCCCCAGACCTTTTCTTTTCTTTTTTTGAGACAGTGTCTCACTAAGTTTCTGAGACAGACCTTGAACTTGCGATTTTTCTATCTCAGCCTCCTAAGTAACTGGGATTATAAACGTGTACTACTGTACCTGGCCTGTGGTTATAATTTGGAAAGGCATACTTGGTATGTCCATTTATGCTGAATACAAAATCACAGAAAATGAAAGTCAGGAAAACTCAGTTATTTTATTTTTTTGAATTTATTTTTTATTTGCTTTAATTATTTATACATGATAGTACATACATGTTACTTAGGTCATGTAATCATATATGCACATAGGGTAATAATGTCAGATTCATTCTACTATCATTCCTACCCCCATCCCTTCTCTCCTTCCTTCACTCCCCTCTGTTTAGTCCAAAATACCACTATCTCCCCAACCCCTATGGGAATTAGCATCCACATATCAGAGAAAACATTTGGCCTTTGATTCTTTGGGATTGGCTTATTTCACTTAGTGAAATATTCTCCAGTTCCGTCCATTTACTTGCATAATTTCATTCTTCTTTAAGGCTTTGTAATATTCCATTGTGAATGTACACCACCGATTGTTTTTTTATCCATTCATCTGTTAAAGGGCACCTAGGTTGGTTCTGTAGTTTAGCTATTGTGAATTGAGCTGCTATAAACATTGATGTGGCTGCATCACTATAGTATGCTGATTTTAAGTCCTTTGGGTATAAACCTAGGAGTGGGATGACTGGGTCAAATGGCGGTTCCATTCCAAGTTTTCTTAGGAATCTCCATGCTGCTTTCCATAATGGTTGCACCATTTTGCAGTCCCACCAGCAGTGTATGAGTGTACCTTTTCCCCCACATGCTCATCAACATTCATTGTTGCCTATATTCTTGATGATTCCCATCCTGACTGGATTGAGATGGAATCTCAGTGTAGTTTTGATTTGCATTTCTCTAATTGCTAGAGATGTTGAACATTTAGGAAAACTCATTTTTTTTGGCTTCAGTTTTCTTACTGGATTTTGGATATATGCAAGCAATGGAGCAAGAATGCACAACTATGGAGGTGGTTTGCGCATAACAATGACTACATAATTACCATTTACTGAGTACTTAGACTGTGTGTTTAAGCCCTGTGCTGTTTTTCATATGTTGTTATTATTATTATTATTTTTGTGTGTGTGTGTGTGTGTGTGTGTGTGTGTGTGGTATTGGGAATTGAACTCTGGGTCTTGCATATGCTCTACCACTGAGCTACACCCCTAGCTCTGTTGTCTCATTTAATCTTGATAAGAGCCACAGGAAGTAGCCCTTGATTGATTCAGAATATACTGAATGCTTCAATGTGTGTCCAATATTAGACTCGGCTGAGAGAACCCAGAGTAATGCAGTGTACACTGAATGGAACGCAACAGTGGCTTCCCAGAATGGGTGATGTGGTGATAATGAGTTGATCGTGTGCAGGAGCAGGTGAACAGAGTTGCTGACTGCAGCTGAGAGTCTCTGGTGGTCATGATGAGGAAGGAGGGTGGTGAAATGATGCTGGAGAGCTGAGAGCCATTGTTGGCAGGTGCCTGGGCCCTTGAAGGAAACTGGAGGGGTGGTATGATGAGGAACTGTACATCCCTGAGCAGCAGGGAAATATGTCTTGTATTCCTCCATGGAAAGGACATGGGCAGATGATGCTGGGAGAAGCTGGAGACTGGCAAAAGGATCAGATACTTGGGCACTTCTACAATCTACTTTAAGTGTCTAAGTACAATCACACATCACTTAATGATGGGATACATCCTGAGAAATGAGTCATTAGGTGATTTCATCATTGTTGAACATAACAGGTGTATGCCAACTAAGATGGCTCCAACACCACCGGTGACATTATCTTAGAGGACCGTCGTCATACACATGGCAGGTCATCCCTGTGCCCACATGGCTATATGTCACTAGCCCTTCCCCTCCCACTGGTGCCTTTCAATGGTGTTGCAGCCAGAACTAACCCTTCAGAGCTAAAGGCAGAGACTGGCTGTGGAATCACCCCAAGTTCCCTGCCCTGCCATACAGGGCAAGGGAGAACAAAGGAACCAGCTGGCACAGTTTGTTGGGCAGGATGAACGAGGGATGACAGAGATTCTCTATAGGAAGATCACATTTCCATTCAACCTTTGTTGTTAGTCTTGAGAAATACCGGTCGCTTGAGAAACAGTGGTTGGCAGGTGGGCACAGTGGTACACGCTTGTAATCCCAGCGACTTGGAAGGCCGAGGCAGGATGATTGCGAGTTTGAGGCCAAACCGGCAACTTAACAAGACGCTCAGCAACTTAGCAAGACCCATCTCAAAGCAACAAAGAGCTGGGAATATAGCTCAGTGGGTAAAGCACCCCTGGGTCACTACTCAGTACAGGAGGAGGAGAAGGAGGAGGAGGAGGAGGGGGCGGGAAATAATAACAGAAATCGTGGATTGGAAGCTTTAGAGATAGGCCATTTCTTTCACAGAGGTGGTAAAGGGAACTGATTTTGATGGTTCATTCTTTAGGTGTCTGTTAACCACTGGGGAATTGCCTAAAGGATGGTTGGCCATTTGCCCAGGGACTAATGAGATAACCTTCACCTGCGCTGTGCTTTTACAAGACAGGCAGGGAGCCACATTTGTTACTTGGTCCAGTGGCCCTGCAACTTGAAGACTGTCTGTGATGCAATGGAAGGAGTATAAAACTGGGCTCAGGATGCTGTGTTCAAATCCTGTTTGGTAGTTTACTGTCTGGGTGATCTTAGGCAGGATCCTCCATCTTCCTGAACATCAGTTTTCTCATCGATAGTATCCACCCCATAAGATCAGAATTGCCTAGGATAATGCAGGGGAAAGTCTTTTTTCCAACAATGAAACATTTTACAGATGCTAGCTCTTTTTTTAAAATGTTCATTCATTTCTATGTTGTTTTATTTTTTACTCTTTTTTTTAACGTACTGGGGGATTGAGTCTAGGAATATTCTACCTCTGAGCTAGAATATTTTTTTCCTTCTTATTTTGAGGGTCTCACTAAGTTACTGAGGTTGGCCTTGAACTTGGAATCCTCCCACCTTTTGCCACTGAGTTGTGTTATTACAGATGGGTGCCATATGCCTGGCCTCTTTTGCCTGTTTTAAAAGGAGTGGTAGGGGAGATGTTGGAAAATGTGTTGCAGGGACCCTGTTTGTCTGGGCAAGGCTGGGGCAATGAGAACTGTTCTATGAGGCCTTTGCTTCCTTGCAGGCTCGAGAAGCAGAGTTTGAGGCTGAGCAGAACAGAATCCGGAGGGAAAAAGAGAAGGAGTTCGCCCGCCTGATGGCCCTGCAGGAGAGGGCTCAGGATTACCAAGCGGAACAGGTACCTGTTTCTTCTCGGTCTTGACTTCCCTCTTTCTCTGCCACTCCAGCAGCTGTACCTTTGGTGGCCTATAAACTAGCCTCAAGGATGGAGGCATAAAAGAGAGGACTCAGGCTTTCTAGAGTAGACTGAGGAGGATGGGGTGGTTCTGCCCGCCAGGGCCCATGGCAGTAAGGCCTGAGCAGGATTACGGTTTAAGATCCGAGAGAAAGTCTGTGGCTGCAACATAAAGAAATTTCCACCTTAAGTGACAAAAAGAAATATGTCACCAAAGGAAACTATGGCCTCTCCACCATTAGCAGCTTTTAAAATCAGAAGCACTGACGGGGACTGCCTGGAGGAGTTTGAGGAACAGGGAAAGAACTGGGCTGAGTCGGGGTGGAAGGCCAAGACAACCCCCTCAGGGGACCTTCTGACCCCAAGGTTTCTAGACTAGGATTCCATGAATTCTTTCCTAAAATAATTTGCTGCCAGAGAAGCCCATGGTGCTTTAGAAAACAGCCCAAAGATACCTGGGCCTGCTCTGGACCTGAGGTCTTCGGGGCTCTCACCGGCCCCCCACCTTCCCACAGGATGCCTTGCGGGCCAAGCGCAACCAGGAGGCTGCGGACAGAGAATGGCGCAGGAAGGAGAAGGAAAATGCACAGAAGAAGATAGAAACGGAGGCTCAACTACGGAAAACCAGGATGGAACAGGTGGCTTTCAAGGAGCACAGGCTCGCCGTTCAGGTGCAGCAGGACCGGGAAGAGTTCGAGAGGATTCTTCGGTAGGCGGGGCTCGGGAATCTTGGCTTCCCGTCTGCCCTCTCTGCAGCAGGAAGGGCCAAAAGGCAAGAAAGGGGAGCCTTCTGGCAGTTCAGCAGATAGATGCACATCCATGCAGTCACTCCAGCTAGATGGGCGGTTGACATACTTCAGACACCCAGTTATCCAGGGGTGGTGTTGCAGGCCTCCCCCAGCCAGAGCCAGGAGGATGGAAAGTTCGAGGCCAGCCTTAGCAACTCAGGTTTCTCATCTAATGAGACCCCTGTTGCAAAAAAAAAAGATGGACAGGAAATAGTGCAGTGATAGAGTGTCCCTAGGTTCTATCTCCAGTATGGAGTGTGGCCCCAAACAAACAAACTCCCACAAAAACCAATACAACAACAATCCCAAACAAATAACAACAACAATGACAAAACACTCAAGCCAAGTATTTCAGGATTAGAGAATTTGAAAATAGCATCTGGGAAGTGTTTAAGGAATTGGGGGTTATGGGGATAAGTTATCCTGAAAAGTAAAATGTAAATAAAGGTCTATCTAGTCCCTTCTGACCACCCCCATCCACATCTGTCTGCAGATTAGTGATGAAGCTTCAAGTTGGAGAAGGTACGGGGGAGACAGAAGAACCTCAGTCATTAAGGGTTGTGTCACTGGAGCAGGACTTTAAAGTATATCTTCGCCACTGACTTGACAAAAATGTATTAAGCACATCCAGCCAGGCTCTGTGCTGGATGCCACGGAGAGCATTAGAAATTAATCAAAACCGCTTCTTCCTATTTTGTAGGAAGGATGTTAGAGGTTCATATTTTGACCTCACTTTTATCTATCCATCTTTCCTGCACAGTAGCGCTTTATCCTTTTATTTGTATACTTTTGGCTCAGTGGTAATTACGACATATAAGTGGAAGCTAAGCATTCATATCCATCACTGTTCTGACCCTCCCCCAAAGCAGTCAGTAATCACAGGTGCCTTTGGTTTTCCTCTCTATTTCTTACCAGTTAAATCTGTTACCACCAGATCTGGCTTAACTGGGAACGGCTTCCTTTTTGTTCTGGTTCAGCCTCTGTGAGATCAGAATTTTTCAAAAGGAAAAAAAAAAAAACAGACAAAACTGAAATTTGGGGAATCAGAAATTATGCTTAGATAAGTGGAGTTTGAACAGTTGGACCTCATTTTCTTGGTCTCCATGCTATAGGACCTTTCTCTTTATCCTGTTTCAGTTAGTGGTATCCTAGACGAAGCCATCTAGACTCCTAATGGAGGCAGAGCAGCTCTCCATAAAGCTCTGTCCTTGCCAGAACCAGATTCCTGGTCTTCTGTAGGATTGCAAGTTCTTGATGATTCCCAGTAGCTGTGATGCCCTTGGGGACTCTAGCTTTCCCTGCCCTTGGGGTTGTGCCAGTGGTCACTGGACACTGGTAAAGAAGGCAGCTTCCTCAATGCTCCCAAAGATCCTGCCCCAGGGCTCCAGCTTGCCTTCCAGATGTCTCCCCTCTCCTCTCTGGCCTTGTGCCCTGGGACATCTGTGTGCCTTTAGCAGGCACTAATACATATTAATGGAATGAAATTAAAGCTCTACATTTGCCACTGACCCATTTGTCTCTGCTTTGCTTTGTTTTCTTGAAGCCTGTGTACTAGCCAGTTATTAAAGTTGGACCAGCCTTTGGAGAAGTTCAGTTTTACCTGCTGTCCTAGATTAGCATCTAAGACTTAGTGTCTCCAGGCCATGTGACCTCCATGATGGGTGCCTTTTCTTTAAGAGTGCCTCTGCCACAGCTAGCAATCCAAATTTTCCTACTTCAAAAGTATAACCTAGGCTGGGGATGTGGCTCAGTGGCAGAGTCCTTGCTTAGCGTGTGGGAAGCCTCCAGATCCATTCCCAGTACCACCAAAACCCAAACAAAAAACAAACCCAAAGTATGGCCTCCCTAGAGACTACCTGTTTCTGGACAGAGGGATGCCTTTATTTCTCAGCTTGTTGATTAAACAGATACTGCCCAATCTATCCTACCAAGTGGTTCTTAGAAATGCCTGGGACCTTTAAAAAAATACAGATAAGCTCTACCACGAATTGTGATTTAAATGGTGTGTGGTGCAGCCCAGATATCAGTATCTTCTGAAATCTTGCAGATGATTCTAATATGCATGCAGATTGTTAACGTTATTATTGTTAGGAAAGGAAGGAAGGGAGAAAGGGAGGAAGATAGGAAGGAAGATATATTAGAACAAGCTGGAGAGGAGTTATGCATTATTATGAGGGAAGAGTAGGAAAAAGAGCTCCCAGGGGGTGAAATCCTGGTTGTAGGACCAGCTACATAATTTGCAGAGCCCGATGAAAAATTAGACTATGGAGCTCCTTGTTAAAAAATTATTAAGAATCTCTCCACCGTGACAGCAGAGCATTACACCAGGCCTGGGGCCCTTTAAAGCATGCCCCTGGCTTACAGTTGCATGATCCTGAGGCTGGTTCTGGCTGGTGGGAGGAGGCAGAACTCTGCCTTCATGCTAATCCCTGAGTTGCAGAAGAAGTGGGCTGGGGCCTGAGGGCTGTGGTCTCTGAAACACGTCCTTTAGAGGAGCCGCCTTCCCTTGGCAGGACCAGCTCAGCCTAGACCCTTCCACTCCTTGTGCCCTCCCCCAGGGCTCAGAGAGAGCAGATTGAGAAGGAGAAGATGGAGGAGGAGAAAAAGGCCTCGGGGCGCTTACAGCATGCCAACGAGCTCAGACGCCAGGTCCGAGAGAACCAGCAGAAGCAGGTGCAGAACCGCATTGCCACCTTCGAAGAGGGCCGGCGCCTTAAAGAGGAGGCCCAGAAGCGCCGTGAGCGCATTGATGATATCAAGAAGAAAAAACTCGAGGAGTTGAGGTGCACTGGGACCCTTTCTTCCCTGGCTCTTTTCACTTCCCCTAAGAGATGCTGGCAGGGCAGTCCGGAAAGCCTAGATATGTTCAGGGAGGGACCCCTCTCCTGGCTCTAGGCTTACCCCTAAACTGGGCTCCAGCAGAAGGTTCTGGGACTGGGTCTTCCTTGCTCTCTGGGAGCTCCTTGGCAGTATACTGGCTTGGGGGGTGGATTATGGGAGAAGGCTGGGGTACGGGTCCCCAGGTGTTGTAAACCTCACCCGAGGCCTGCTTTCTTCTGCGTCCACTCTGGTCCAACACTTCCCTACACCCTCCCTGCCTTCTCTCCACAGAGCCACTGGCCTTCCTGAGAAATACTGCATTGAAGCTGAGCGCAAAGCTAACATCCTGCCCACCACCTCTGTGAACTGAAGGGGAGCCTCTGTGACCCTCAGGACGCCTTCAGGGGACAGATTCTGCCCAGTCTTTGGGTGTCCTTAATTGCTGCTAACCTAGACATTTCATAGTTACGGATTAAACCTATTCTACTTTTCTAAGGAATAGCTTTTTTTTTTTTTTTTTTTTTAATTGTTGTTGTTGTGGGGATATGGCTGCTCCAGGGGATTAAAGGTGGAGAAAAATAGGTTCCGGGGAATCAGGTGTGATTGTAACCCCAGTGATTTGGGAGGGCCGAGGCAGGAGGGTCACAAGTTTGAGGTCATCAGCCTGGGTACCTGAGACCCTGACTTCAAATTTAAAAGGGGAAGGAGTAGCGGGAATGTAGCTCAGTGATACAGCACCCCGAGTTCAATCCCTAGTACCACAATACAGAAATAAATAAAAAGGTTATGGGGACCCAAGGGTGGGAGCATGTCCTAGACCAGGGGGTCCCTTAGAGTTGGGCTCTGCTGGCTTTTTGCCATCTCCCGCAGTGTCCACTTACCAGTTCAGAGGCATTTCAAGGCTTGAGGCAGATGCTGGGTTGGGGGAGGGCTGGTGTGAGGGCTGGGTGGGGTGAAGCTGGGGAGGGAGAGCTCTTCCGGGGCTCACAACCATGACTCAGACCACATCTGTGGAGGGGGCTGGTGTTGGAGCTTGGTCCATGTACTACTGCAACTCAGACACCTGCCCCGCCCCACCAGAGCACACCCAGGACCCTGTTCCTTACCCAAACACAGCTTCCCTCCCACTCGTGTGGCTGGGCTTTCCCTGATCAACTTCACTCCCGTAAGTGGGGCTCCCCCAAGCCATTTTTCTGTTTTAACTTTTCTCATTTTGCTCCCAACGACTCCTTATTCACACACTCACACACTTCACAGAGTGCCTGCCGGGAACCAGCCGCCCTCTGAGCATTCAGTGAGGACAACAGACCTGGTGCCCCTTCCTGGAAGCCTCTCCTTTGGGCCAGTCTCCCGATTCTCTGCAGCCCTCCCCCAATTTCATGTACCTGTAGAATAATCTCAGCCTTTCTGGAATAACCCTGGGAGTTATTTGGAGTGGGAGAGCCACATTCCAATGATGGAGCACTTCCTGGTGTTGTGTGCCTGGGGGTAAAGGGCCTCTACCTAGCTCCCCACACTCAGGTGCCCCTCTGCTCCTCCCCACCCCCAGGGGTTTGCTTCTTTTCTCAGATCCAAAGCCCAGTCTGGTCTTCCTCCATGCATCCCGCACTAGAGGAGGCAGAGGACAGCTGCTGGGCGTCCTTGGTGTTTGCCACGCCAGGTTACAAGGGCCTGGGGCAAGAGTCCTCTTTTCATGGGGCCCAGGGAGAGTCAGCAAGCTGCTTCCTGTGCTTCCCCTTGCTCAGGACTGAGTGGCTGCCCTCTCTACTTTCCCCACTAGGGAAGACTGTTGCCCCACTCAACCAGGCGGGCAGCCCCCCAGCTGTTTAGGGAAAAGACTGCCTCACCTTCTCCACTCAGCACTCCTAACTGCAACCAGCTGACACCTGCCCCTCTCAGGGTCTTGGGAGGACATGGCACTGAGCCCAGTATGAGAGAAAGACACAGCAGTGCCACCAAGAATTCTGGCACCCAGCTGACCTCATCGTGAGACCTTCAAGGTCCAAAGAATAAGCCCTTACCTATCTTGGAGAACCCTCTTCCCCAGGAAGGTCAGAAAGAGCCTTTCCTGGGCGCCTGGAGTTTGTCAGGTGCACACCCAGGTCATCCATCTCAGGGCCCCTGTGGAATGCGGGCTCCCAGAAAGGGGTTCTTGCACTCACTGCCTGCTTGGGAACCCATGTGGAGAACAATGTTCACAGGTGGAAATCACAGAGCTGCTGCTGGTGAGAAAGCAGGGCTGTGGTTCACGACAGATCCCAAGGCCCATGGGTGACACTGGTGGACAGGACCCACAAAAGAGAAGTTCCGTTTCTTAGGATTCTTGAGAAGCGCTACACAGGTGTCCTCGGCTCCAGGGCTGGCTGGGATTGCCAGCAGGAGCCTACTTCCCAGAAGTGGGAATCTTCTGGGAGTGTGGGACTAGTTGAGATCTTAGGCTACCGAGCTCCGTGAGGGTGTTTATTTTTTTTATAAACCCTCTACCCACTGGCTTGGGAACAGCCCTGGGAATAGTTACGGAGCAAGCCTCCTGGCTTGAGTGGTGATTGGTGGGTCAGGATTGTGACAGGAGTGGCAGAACCAGCAGGGGGCTGTGTGAGCCCAACTTGCAGAGTGGGGGTGGGGCCTGGGTACAAGGGAAAGAGGGAGTGAGTGTGATGTTGAGGACTCTAATGGGCCCCCCAGGCTCAGGAATCAGGAATGACCAGTCTCAGTCTTTCTGCTAGAGGTCAGAACTTTGGCGGGGCTGCTTTCTGCTGAAGACGATTCAGCTTTCCCTGGCTTATGCTCAGAGGTGGAAATGCGCTCTATGCATCCCTCTAAACCACTGTGTCAGTCTTGGGGTACCCGGGAGGCAGCTATTAATACTCTTACAAAGAGTGGGATCCTGGAGGAAAATTGTAGACAAGGGCATAGTTCCCTAAAGATCAACCAGAGGCCCTTTCCCATCCATGGCTGCTGCCTACGGTGACCCATCTCTGCTTCCACACTGAGAGAGACCAGGAAGCAGAGTGATGTTGAGGAAGATCTGAAGATACGTAGGAAGTACCGCTGATGCATTGTCTTTGCTGATGTAAAGATTTTGTTTTTAAAGTGCCCAAGCCATTATTGACTTTGTGGTATGGGTATCTGATTTCTTTATATATTGCGTTTACATTATTTCATGTATAAAGGTACATACTATGCTGGGTGCAGTGACACACACCTGTCATCCCAGCAATTTGAGAGGCTGGGGTCAGGAGGATCACAAGTTCAAGGCCAGCCTGCACAATTTAGAGAGACCCTGTCTCAAAATTTTTGAAAAAAAGGGTTGGGGATGTAGCTCAGTGGTAAGGCAACCCTGTGTTCAATCTCCGGTAAAAACAAAAGTAACAACAAAAACACAAAAAACAAACCAAGGTGTGCACTAGCTTCCTGTCTTGTGCCCTTGGGCTCTTGCAGTCCTTACAGTGTCAGGATGGTCTGATTCAGCCTAAAAACTCCAGAGGTTGGATTTTCCAGCCATGGAGCATTGAGTCGGATCTGCAGGCAGCTGCCTGCAGGTATGCGTGCCTCCCTCAGCTTTTGGCTGGGCTCGCTGTCCTATCTGCCCTCACGTGCTTCTTCCTGGCACCACGCTCTGCTGTGGCTTGGGGGAGGTCTCAGAACCTTTGCACCTGCAGCAGAAGCAGCTCAAGACTGCATGATTCAGCAGCCCGCCCCGGGTGGCCCATCCAGGCAGGCCCTGACTCAGTGGAGTGCTGGAATGTCCTCCAGTGCCCTTGAAGGCCTCAGCATCCCCATCTGCGACTTTGGGTTACAGCTGGGCATTAATTGGTTTCAGTAAAAGCACTTTGATTAGACTTGGATGAAAGGGCCTGTGAGAGTTCAAAGCCAGGCAGGGCTTTTGGGGTGAGAAAGGGTGGCAGGTGTTCAGGTGATGGCAGAGGGGAGACGCTGGAGTCTCAGACAAAAAGTCTGGGTGCAGAGGTCATGAAGGCAGGACTGACTTCTTCATTCTCTATTCTGCAAAGAGTGGGAGCCTGGGAGATGGTTCCCTAAAGCTCAACGAGAGGCCCTCTCCCATCCAAGGCTGCTTTTCACCTCTCCTTCTGCACTCATGCCAAGAGTTCCTGGAAGATCCTCATTTCCAACATCACATATCTTTCTTGATTGGATATCTTTAATAGCTCAAACCTTCTTTTTGTCTTAGCTCACACACTCTGGCCTCTCCTAGCTTGGGATACGCCCCATGAGGTGTAAGCTCCACATTTCTTTTTGCATCCCCACCCTCACTTTGGAAAGGGATGGCCAGTTTTCTCAGTGTCCTTTGACAACTTGGAGGCTGGGACAGAAATAGCATTGAGGTTTTGGTGGCTTTCTCCAAAGACTCAGAGAAAGTGGAGCCAAAGTGTTGGGTGGGAGTAGGGAGCAGAAGGTCCTGGGGCTTGAAGAAATTGCCTAGAGCTAGTGAACTTTTCTGCGTGATCCCTGGAGAAAGATTATCTCTGGGCTGGGGGGGATGAGCACAGAATTATAGAATGTCAAGGCCAAAAGGGACCTCAAAGACCCTCTGGTGTTTTAATCTCCCACGGCTGGGCAGTCTGAGCTTGCACTTTCTGACAGACATGACACTCACTATCTGATAATGCAACCCAATCATCTTAGATCAACCCTGGAGCTCAGAAAGTTCAGTGTCGAGTCAATATATGTCTTCCTGTGCATCTACTGCATGGACTTATTTCTGCTCTTTGGGATCACACAAAACAAGTCCAGGCTCTTTTTTTCATAATTAAGACCCCTTCAGCTGTCTCCTACCGTAAGCTGTGCAGTTTGACCCCATATGGGGAAGTGCATGTAGTTCTGGAAACATAGGGCTCTCTAGCCATTCAGGTAAGAGGTTCTAGAGGGAGGAAGTCAGGGGAGGGAACTGGAGGGGAACGTTGGCTCTCTCCCTTGGGCTGGGCCTGTTGCTTTCCTGCTGGTTAATACTTCCATCCCGGGCCAGCCCTGGCAGAGTGGTTGGTGTTGTCTCTGAGGCCCAATCCCTCTGGCGCCACCTTCCCTTCTCAGTCCCTTATTCTGGTATCCAGGCAACAGGAAACAAACAGGAAAGGCAGAGCGAGGGCTGGTCAGGTCAGGCTTACAGGAGCCACTTCCCTCTGATGCCTGTCACCTCCCATACCTTTTCCTGGGCAAGGCAGTCCCAGGGCCACCCTCACGCTTGAAGGGGACCTCTGTTCCCCTCTGCAGATATGTAGCCACTGAATCTAGGTAGCAAAGCAAAGGTGAATTTTATTTCTACAAATTCAAAAGCCAAACTTTCCCTGGACTTATGGATTAATACATCACAAAGTCTCCCTCTCCACACACACAGACGTGTGGATCAGGCCAATCCATCTTAGTTGCCCAATTCAATCCTCCGAGGGCCTGGCGCTGATCCCAGTGAGGTGCTCTGTGGGGGTTGGGCAGAAGGTTCCAAGAAGTTCAGTTCTCAAGGATCTCCCCTCCTCAGTCCAAAAATCACCACCAGTGGTTTCACCTCACTTCCTCACTTCATTTGGTGCCTGGCTGATTTCCCACACCCTGAAATATTCCTCTGGTCACCCTTGGTCTTCCTCCTGGTACATCAATGGACAATCTTTCGAATTTCGGGTTAAACATCATTTCCACTGAGTTGGACTTTGAGCACATTAGCATAGCTTATCACACTGAGGGGCAGGTGCCCCTTCACTTGTCTGTGTCCCCCCATGAGTGTCTAGAGGGACTAACACAAAGCCCAGCCGGTTGTAGAGTGCATGAAGGTTCTGCGGCATGTGGTTGATCTCTCGGAGGTGAAGAGACTTTTGAATCATCAGGGTCTTTTATTCCTCTGGTCATTAGGATTTCACACACTCTTTAAAAGGGATTTCTTCTTGTCTCTCTTCATTTAATTGCTTGGTAACCGTTCAGTGGATGGCCTTC